TCTAGACGCTCATCAAGACGGACAGACGGACATGGGTATATCGAGTCGGCTTTTGATGCTGACCAAGAATATATATACTTTATGGGTTCGGAAACGTTTCCTTCTCTGCGTTGCACACATCCACTTTTACCACAAATACAATATACCTCTTAACTTTTTTTTAGTACGGGTATAAAAATGTACACTTAATACAACGTACACGCACACTCTAAAACTTTTATATATATACTTTATACAGAAGCAATGTACACTTAAAACAAAATACACGTATGTACACTTTAAAACTATTATAAGTTAACAAAATCGCATAAATGCATTATAAGGAACACACAAATAATACATCATATACACCTTAGAATAACTCTATATATATTACGTTATTCTTACAAAAAGGGGAGGTGTAGTGTATTCATGAAGTGTGTTTGGCCAATCAATTTAAGCACCACTCTAAAGACAAATTGCAATATGATGCGGCCCCAGCGGCAATCGCTGTCAATGCCCAAAAGGGCATTGCTATTTTTTTGCTACATCTGCTATCTACATCTACATATACAATGTCTATTCTACATCTAACATGTAGATTGTACATGTACCATTTAGATTTTACATCTCCTCCGCTGGGGGTTGCTGGCGCACTGAACGCAGCAGAGTGTGCGAGCGAGAAAGAGAATGAATAGATCTCTGGCTGAAGTAGACGGGGGAAGCAACTGAAAATTAATTTCTTCATTCTGGCTATATTTATGATTCGATCTAATTCAGATTCGGCAATCTGGTAAATTTGATCAATCTCTACGATACTGCGTTTTTAGTTTGATCGTATCTTTAAAATTGTACCTGACACAGATTTTCGTCCTTTGTGGGGGCGGAAGTGGGCGGGGCGAAATTTTGAAATACACTTTTAGCAGTGTGATATCACATGAGTCTGGAAACCAAATTTGGTTTCTCTAGCTCTTATAGTCTCTGAGTCTCGGACGGACAGACGGATATAGCTATATCGACTCGGCTATTGATGCTGATCAAGAATATATATACTTTATGGGGTCGGAAACGTTTCCTTCTCTGCGTTGCACACATCCACTTTTACCACAAATACAATAAACCCCTTAACTCTTTTTTGAGTACGGGTATAAAAAGTATTAATAGCCATTCACGGTACCAAATTTTTGGTAAAAACCGATCATCGTCTATTAACATACTTATTTTCAATGAAAAACCCCCGTCCAAATTAACACGAATGCGATTAGAAGAATATGATTTTGTGGTGGAGTACATAGCAGGGAAAGAAAACTATGTAGCGGATGCGCTATCCCGCAAAGAAATATCCGATTTGAAAAGTTTAACTGCCAAGGCAGCCAAATACTCAATGTAACAACATGGTCGGAGGCCGAAAAATTAATAATAAAAAAAACACTCCTAATAAGAGTATCAAAAAATGTCTTAAGGTGCCAAAAATATACGAAGTCCTATATAAAAAAGAAATAAACCGTTTAAAGAACCATGGACCCCATGGTTCGTCACAAGCAGTCGATACAAGCAACGCTACTTCCACAGAAAGAAAGAAAAACCAAAAACTCAGAACACGCGCGGCCAATCGACGGAAAGGCGCTGACCAAGATTATATAATCAACCCCCACCACAGCAAAACCTAAGTAACCAAACGCTCTCAAATGACGCGTTCAACACCCAACAAAAACGAAAACTCAGCACACCCTAAACAACAGGAGACTGGCACAAGGGGGCTTACGCAATGATTACCTAAAAAAAATATTAGATAAATAAATATTCCTTAGAGTTTATTCACGAAGTGTCAACAAAATTCCTTTCCCACGGTACCGGTGCACACCGATCACCTTACCTGGGACATTTGTTGGTAGGCGATTGCATAAGGTAACCCTCGGTAGCCGGGCAATTCACTCACACGCGCGAGCCAGTCAGGAGTTATTGGTGGTGATAGTTGCGCTGATAGGCAGAAAAGTGCAAAAATGTGCTGTTAGGCGCAAAAGCAATCGAATATATCGATATATATATATTCATGTGCGTCTAATGAATCAAAGACCGACGCAACTGTTTGCCACCACTAGGGCCCTATGCTTAACCTATGTAAAAAAAACTGCGTCTCCGGCAAGAAGCAAAGAAGCATGACGCAGCGCCAATGTAAACAGCCTATCAGGGGTGCCACAGAAATCACTAGTGATATGAGAAACCGCGCAGAGGATTTCTGCTTCAAAATTTCCGACGTGCCACAGAATTCCGAGCGAGTTCATTTTTCTTAGCATTGTCACAAACCAAATTCGAACTAAGGCTAGGGTTGACACCTTTCAAGATTCAATTCGAATAGGGCTAATTTTGCAGTTTTATTGATTTCATCATATCAAAACTATTGGATTTTCTTTTTTCTTTTATGAAATAAAATAATTGCTTTTTCAAAGCTGTACTTTTATAATTTCAAAGCAAAAAAAAACATCCCATATCGTGCGAGTAAAACAAAACAATGTACTCGGCAACTCTAGTAGCTGTCTGGCAACTCTCCATGCATGGCAGCAATCAGCTGTTCAACAAAAACACACATCTGAATTTTACGGTAAACTTAACTAAAATGCTTTTACCGAGACTGTTGGCCATCGAAGAACTTAGGAGGCAACATATTAGAATACAAACCTTGCAGCGCAGGCTTCTCAGATGCGCATGGGACTCGTTTTCACGTTCAGACGATACGTATGTGGTTTTTGTGATTTTCTTCTCAAACTACTGCTAATTTAGTTCATTACAAATACCAGTTTTTGGTATTATGATCGCTATGCTTCTATTTGTGCTGCCATGGGTCTGCGCTTAGCCAAGCAGGAGTTTTTGACATAAATGCAATGGCAATAATGTGTAGAAATGGTTTGTTATAGGCTGTTTACATTGGGACTGCGTCATGCTTCTTTGCGTCTTGGCGAAGACGCAGTTTTTTTTACATAGGTTAAGCATAGGGCCCTAGTGGTGGTAAAAAGTTGCGTCGGTCTCTGATTCATGTGCGTCTATTCGATATATTCGATTGCTTTTGCGCTTAACTGCACATTTTTGCACTTTTCTGCCTATCAGCGCAACTATCACCTCTAAGAACAACAAAAACTTGTAGTTAAAAATCAAATTTTGGCGCTAAAATGAATGGTTGTGCAAAAAGGTGAAAATATACATAAAATCATGAAATAAAATACTTGAAACTGATTGTATTATTATCATACGACATTTTTGTGATCCCCTGATGCCATTATGACACTGCTGGAGACGAACCTTGATGGTTTTCATAATTTTAAAAAGAACTCCCACAAGCTCTACAAAGAAATGTCTGAAAATAATAAATAAATATAAGAATCAATTCTCTTTCATCCATTTTCTTGTCGTCTTGCATAATTCTGTTGATTTCTCAAAATTTGTTTACTTTCCTTGTCATCAAGCACCCAAATCAAAATTCAAGACGCACGTCTGCCAATGTAAACGCCTTTTCTGCTTCATTGCGTCTATTCCGATATCGATAGCAGACGCGCCCAGTGTAAAAAGGCTATTAGTTCTGTTTTGGCATTTTGAAGCGATGCCACCTGGTAGAACTACAAATGACTACAAATGTTTTCACAATTCACAAACTACTGCTAATTTAGTTCATTACAATTACCAGTTTTTGGTATTATGATCACTATGCTTCTATTTGTGCTGCCATGGGTCTGCGCTTAGCCAAACAGGTGTTTTTGACATAAATGCAATGGCAATAATGTGTAGAAATGGTTTGTTAGTTCTGTTCTGCCATTTTGAAGCTATGTCACCTGGTAGAACTACAAATGACTACAAATGTTTTCACAATTCGCACAAAAAGTGTGCACATGTTTGACGTAAAGGAAGTTTTACTGTAATCAGCTTTTTTTGTTTAATGCTTAATTAAATAAAAACAGAATGCTTTTAATATATAGTTCATATTAAATATCTTGCTCCGAATTCGGCTTTAAAAAGGTGGCATTACTGTATTAACTTCGAAAGTCCGAAACGCCCTAGGAGGCCACCTCGGTCTGCAGCGGATAGAGCGCGGAATCGTTAAGTGAAAACTCAGTCAGCGGATTGGATAGTGATTTACTAAAATGCTTATTTTATTAACTTAACATGAATAATGTTAAATTATTTGGATGAGGGTTAATCACCAATTAAACAACCTTTATGGGAAAGTAAGATTCAAATCGTTTTAGGTGTGTTTTATGGGTATATTTAATCAAATCCTGGATAAATTGTGAGCGATTTTGATTCCGCTGAAAATTCGGTGTGTGGCACGGCGGAATGTAATTGAGGTGATTTTCCAGCGGAAGTGATTTCTGTGGCACCCCTGTATAAGTCAAGACCCACTCAATTTATTAGAGAAGCCGTTCGAAAAATTTTTCAGACGAATTGCCTTTTTTTATACCTGGAATGGGACCATCATTAAGTCAGACGCCGAATAGTGTTTTCTTGTCACAATTATAAAAAGTAAGCAAATATTTATATTATTGAAAGCTTAAATAAATATATTTCTTCTCTTAGATATTTTCCACATAAAATACAATTGTACGGATAAGGAAATGAACTCAGTGCCACGCGAAAATGCGTAGAATAATTTGTATATACTATATATAATTTCATTACTATTATTATACGCCAATAATATTTACAATTGAATATTCTTCTATTTTGGGTCTCATTTGATTAGAAACATTATTCGAAAAAGAGTCGCCTTTGATAAGAAATAGGATTCGAAGAAGATTCACATATTATTATGAAAGTGGGCTAGGAAAAATATTGATTTTTGTGAGAGAGATGCAAAAGTTTTCCGCCGCACCAAATTGTGTGCATCAGCTGTATTTAGTGGATATTGCCAGTGTGTGTTCCGCTGTTTCACATCTGCCTAAATTCCCCACCGTTTCACAAAGATATCTTTGAGGAAAATTTTATAAAAACATCGAAGAAATCGATGAATCTCTACCTATATCTTTGATATGTTTTGGTGTCATCACTACTAAATATCTTCTTGAAAATAAAAACTTTAGTTTGTTTGTTGTCAATTACAATGCAGATCTGTAATGAAATTTAAAAAAAGTAAATATAATTCATGTAATTAAATGCAATAATGTATGTATGTATATGTAACAGTTTTCATGCCATAATATACTTTCATATTTATCTATGTAATGTATGTATGTGTGCATGTGAAATTATTATACATTAATGTGCCACTTCGTAAGTTATGTATTATGCTCCTTTCTGTATACATAAATTAACTATATTGTAATAGAAAAGCAATATTCTTGTTAACTGCAGAAAGTTTTTAATTAAAAAACATTCCCGAAGTGTTCAATACCTGTGCAAAAGTATAAAAATGTTTTTATATATGTATGTATGTAAAACCATTAAATGCTGATTAAATTGTTTAGAATTTTTTTGAAGGATATGTTACGATAATAAACCATTCAGTTGCGCCCAAAATCACATGTGACCATCTGATTTTAATATGCGCATGTTTTATTAAAACGTGAATACACATTTTACACACACATTTCCAAACTGTTCAAATGTCACTGTTAACCCTATAAATAGTTCCGAATAACACCATAACATAAAACTAAACAAAAACTGTTCATAGCAAACTTTTCTGATTACACTAGTCAACACGATATTTACGCTGTGGCCCAAAATTACTTTTTCTGATAGATTTCAGGATTTACAATTTTTAACGCATTATGTATTTTTATACCCGTACTCAAAAAAGAGTTAAGGGGTATATTAGATTTGTGGAAAAAGTGGATGTGTGTAACGCAGAGAAGAAATCGTTTCCGACCCCATAAAGTATATATATTCTTGATCAGCATCAATAGCCGAGTCGATAGAGCCATATCTGTCTGTCCGTCTTGTTTGACGCCTGGATCTCGGAGACTAAAAAAGCTAGAGGAACTTTGTTTCCAGGCTCATGTGATATCACACTGCTACAAGTGTATTTCAAAATTTCGCCCCGCCTCCACAAAGAACGAAAATCTGTGGCAGCCACAATTTTAAAGATACGCTAAAACTAAAAACGTTATATCGTAGAGAATGCCCATATCTACCAGATTGCCGAATCTGAATAAGATCGGATCATAATTATAGCCAGAATGAAGAAATTCTTTTTCAGTTCTTCCCCTACACCCTCCTGCCCACGAACAAGCTACTCATTTTCCTTCTCGCTCGCACACTCGCCGCGTTCAGTGCGCGAGCAACCCCTAGCGGAGGAGATGTAGAATCTAAATGGTACATGTACAATCTACATGTTAGATGTAGAATATACATAATATATGTAGACGTAGATAACAGATGTAGCAAAAGATGTAAAATGTAAATTTTTTTTAAATTCTAAAATTCTAAAAAATCATATGCTTAAAAATGTATATACTGACTGAGTACGGGTATAAGTAGAGTCGCGTCCCCAGAAGCGACTCGCACGTTCCTTCTCGTTTATGGTTTAGTTTTTATACCCGTACTCAAAAAAGAGTTAAGGGGTATATTAGATTTGTGGTAAAAGTGAATGTGTGTAACGCAGAGAAGGAAACGTTTCCGACCCCATAAAGTATATACAGTCATGGAAAAAATAATAGAAACGGCATGCGCATTCGAATTTAAAACCAAATATTTTATTTTAGGAGCAAATTGTTTGAACAAAAACAACTGCTTGGTTTCAGGATAATGGGTGTTTACTTTGGATTCTCTTTTGTGATCCTTTCGTAAAAATGATGAGCTAGGTACACTAATTTGTAGGAAGATCACGTTTTTGTCTTGGAAAAAATAATAGAAACGCATTCAAATTTTGTTTTTATATTGTAATAAAACGGTTAAAATCGAATTATATAGGTAATATATTATCGCCTAAGGATTCCGTTTTTGTTGTTGTTATTATTCGGTTCAGAATGGGTCGTGGAGTATATTGTAGGGATATTAAAAGAAAACATATCCTAAATCTAAAAACGGAAGGCCACACAAGGTCAGATAGTCACACATATCTAAAATGGATTTAAAAAAGTGTTTACTTCGATTTACTACAAAAAAAAGCGAGACATGTTGCGCATTGTTCGAAAATCCAAGAAAAATCCCTTTCTCTCGTCGATAGATCTGTAAAATGATATTAAAGCACGTGTTAGTAGTCGCACTATAAGGAATAGGTTGATTGATGTCAATTTAAAAGGTCATATAGCTCAAATAATATAACACTACTTTCCAAAAAAAAGTTTAGAAACCGAGTAAATTTCGCGAAGGTGCATTTATGTCGTCCAAGTTAGAAAAATGTGTTAAAGTCATATGAAACTAAGGTAAATGGGCGTATATTTGTTGGGGAACTTCATATAAGGCATTTTAATACTACTTCTCACGACCCAGGTATTCTGTTAAAGCGGGTATGCATGGTGGTGGGCACATAATGTTGTGGGGATGCTTTATCCATTCGATTACACTAGTCAACACGATTTTTCCTCAAGGAACAAAACGAACTTTTTCTTAAAGATTTGGGGCTTAGAAATGGTTTGATAATATTTTTTTTTTTTTCTATGGCAGAACTTTTTTTTGAAGAATTTTTGAAAACTGGTATTTTTTTTTTTAACTTTTTTCAGAGGTAGCGCTTGTTTTTTTCACATAGCTCTAGTATCTTACGTCTGGTTGTAAAGAACTTTGCTATTTTGAGAAGATAATTAAAACACCTGGGTTGTAAAGAACTTTGCTATTTTCAGAAGATAATTAAAACAGCTAGAAGTTAAGCCCAAACACTTTGTGATTACAGCTTACCGTCTGGGAAATATAAAGCATTGAAATGCAAAAATGATGATTTTTGGGCGGTTCGTTAACCAAACCTAAAATATGGAAAAAATGAACAAAAAATACCTTTTCGAAGGTTGCGATCCCAATTCCCAATGGGAATTGGGCTCCAAACGCGATCAGGTACCAAATGTACAACTCTTTTTCGTTTGCTTTGTTCCCAATTGGCAACCATTAAAAAGGTATTTTTTGTTCATTTTTTTCATTTTTTAGGTTTGGCTAACGAATTTTAGCTCCAAAGTCTCTCCATAGATTTTAATGAGCGATACCTGGAACGACGCCAAATTAATGCACCTATACACAAAAAAATAGAGGACACAGGATATAATTTTTTTTCGACTTTTCCTGAGTTTTTAAAGTCAAAATTTCGTAAAAAATACCGCCCAAAAATAATCATTTTTGCATTTCAATGCTTTATATTTCCCAGACGGTAAGCTGTAATCACAAATTGTTTGGGCTTAACTTCTAGCTGTTTTAATTATCTTCTGAAAATAGCAAAGTTCTTTACAACCAGACGTAAGATACTAGAGCTATGTGAAAAAAACAAGCGCTACCTTTGAAAAAAGCTTAAACAAAAAATACCAGACTTAAAAAATTCTTCAAAAAAAAGTTCTGCCATAGAAAAAAAACCATAATTCTTAAAAAAAATTGTAAATCCCCATATCTATCAGAAAAAGTCGGTTTGGACCCTTGAGGAAAAAAAAAGTTCGATTTTGTCGAGTAGTGTTATTGGTCCAATAATTTGGATATAGAAAAAAATGTGTGCCTCCGTCTATACTCTACAGTATAATTATAAGTAGGAAATACCATTAAAGTGGTAGTTCGATCAGAATAATGACCCGAATCACTCCTAAATGCTGACCAAGAAATGGTTCCTGGACAAAGAAGTTTCCCTGATGGATTGGCCTGATGGAATATCAGACCTTAATCCTATAGACCACATTTAGGAGATCTTAATGCTTAATGCTTTTTGCTACACTAATTTTTTAAAAATTATTATTTTGTTATGTTTTGATACATAACTGTATAGACTATCAATCAAAATTATTTAACTTAAAAAATAAAAATTTTGACTGAAGAAAATTTTGAAAAATGCGAAAAAAAATTGTCGTTTCTATTATATTTTCCATCACTGTATATTCTTGATTAGCATCAATAGCCCAGTCGATAGAGCCATGTCTGTCTGTCCGTGTATTTCAAAATTTCGCCCCGCCCCCACAAAGGACGAAAATTTGTGGCACGCACAATTTTAAAGATACGCTATAACTAAAAACGCAGTATCGTAGAAAATGACCATATCTATTGCCGAATCTGAATCAGATCGGATCATAATTATAGCCAGAATGAAGAAATTAATTTTCTGTTGGTTCGCCCGCCTCCCCAGCCCCAGCCAGAGAAACGCTACTCATTCTCTTTCTCGCTCACTCTCTCTCACTCTGCCGCGTTCAGTGCGCGAGCAACCCCTAGCGAAGGAGATGTAGAATATAAATGGTACATCTGTAATCTACATGTTATACGTATAATATACATTGTAGATGTAGATAACAAATGTAGCAAAAAAATGTAAAATGTAAAATTTTTTTTTCAATTCTAAAATTCTAAAAAATCCTAAGTTTAAAAATATATATACTGACTGAGTACGGAGATAAGTAAAGTCGCGTCCCCAGAAGCGACTCACACGATCCTTCTCGTTAAAAATATATTCCAGAAAATATCTATTCTAAAAACGTTTTAATTTATTGTAACTAACTACATGTGTATGTACAATGTATGAATCTGGCTTTGGATTTGAACAATTGTTCTTGACAACATTAAAATTTAAAAAAACTGGTGATCATTTGATACGACAACTTTTATGGCATTTGATACGCTTTGAATCAATTTCAATTTTGTTTCGGACTCAAATTCATACATACATACATATGTATGCAAATATGTGTGCAAATATATATTCATGATTCTTTACGTGTTAATATGTCAAAAAGGTGACATGAGATTTAATCGCATAAATTGCATTTTGCAAGCAGCATTGGTCAGACAGAGGTCAGAAGAGAGAGAAATAGCTAAAACGTCATGTCTGAGCGAAAACATCTAAATAATTTTGATATTCTCTGGAGCATCCCAGTGGACCAAAACTTCGTAAACGATATCGCAAACGTGAGTTACGCGAAACTCAAGCGGGTAAAACTATCGAATTAAGATCCAAAAACGATAATAAAATGAATCACTAGTCGCTCACTTTGTGGCAGTGAAAGTTTCGTTTT